TAATCGCCTTCCGTCAAGACGGAGCGGCGCGCCTCGAGCAAAAGGACTCGTGAATTGCAAGTCCTCAACACTGCATGGGCGCAATGTCCATTATACCGAAAGTACTTTCGGTTACTATGACTTTAGTTGCTCTGCTTCAATTCGCGCCACAATTCCCACCGTTTTAGCAAAGAAGCGTTGCCAGCGGTACACATGACGAAAGTCACCAGCCAGCGCATCGACATGCCGCCGCGCAATGCCTTGCATAATTCCACCAAGGCATCGCCACGGCGCCCATCCTGCAAAGCATAGCGCGCCACCTTGATGCGCGCATCGGCGACGATGCTCAAGGCGCCCGGGCGCGATGGGTCGCCGGCAGGCAAGCTCAGGGCGCGCTGCTCCAACCGAAAAAATACCTGTGGCAAGGTGCGCAAGTCATGCACGGCACACAGGCTGCCAGCCACATCCGTGCGATATGCTACAAGTCTGGCAGGCGTGAAGACCAGCTGCAGGCGCTCGGCCAGGCGGAACCATAAATCCTGGTCCTCGCCAAACTGATCGCCTTCGGGAAAACATTGAGACATGGACATTAAATGGCGGCGCGGCACGGCAATCGAGTTAGTGCAATAGAACACTCCGTGGGCTGCCCGGTAGGCATAGAAATTCTTAATCGGCTCAAACCGCGCATCGGCAACCTGGTCGAGCAGGCCATCGGATGGATCGTTCATGCATAAAAATGATGTAGAAAAAAAACTGTTTTCCGGATACTTTTGGTACATGGAAACAATTGCCAATAAAAAATCTGCAGCATACCAATCATCGGCGTCGAGGAAGCAAACCAGCTCTCCTCGCGAGGCCGCGATACCCACGTTGCGCGCGCGTGACACGCCTCCATTCGCTTGTCGGATCAAGCGTATGCGCGGATCGTCCATCGCTTCCACGAGAGCGGCGCCGCCATCGCGCGAGCCATCGTCGACGACCACAATTTCAAAATCCTGGTGGCTTTGCGACATCACAGAGGCGATCGCCGAGACGATATATTGTTCCTTGTTATATAGTGGGATAATGACGGAGCACAACATCAAGACAAACTCCCTTCCATCATATTGCGCCGTGCCAAGGCTTTCTCACGCCGCTGCTGTGCAGTCGGTACATAGTAGCGGACGAGCACCGCCAGCTGCAGCATATGAATCGGCAAATCAGGGCTCATGCTGGCTAGCGACAGAGGCACTTCACTGATCGACTTGCAAATGAGTAGGATAAAC